AGAGTTTTGGGATTTAGATAGAAATTATATTTAATCAGCAAATCCATGTCATTAATTTAAACACATTAGCAGTATTAAGTTTTTCATTTCATGAATACAGAACAGCATTCATTTGTTTTGTGTTCTTAAGTTTTTTCATCAACGCAGTACATTTTTAGTATATAAGTCATTATACTCTTTGTCACGTTTACTTTGAAGTCCCTCGTTTTTTGGTACTATTATAAGTGTGGTTGTTTTTCTTAATTTATGTTTCATGTAGTTTATTGTTAGTAAATAGGAACACAATTAAATTTTCTGTTCATTTTGGATTCTACAATTTTACTAAATGGTTTTACTACTTCTAAAAACTTTTGGTACTGTTTTTTAGAATTAACTATGTATATATAAGATCATAAATCCACAAATACATATCATCATATTCTTACTTTCTCATATGGATACTTTTTATTCTTATTTCTTAACTAATTACTTCTACTTGTGCTTCTAGCATCTTGTTTAGAAACAAGAATATGATCATTATCTTATTCTTGGATAAAAACTCAGTTTTTCAGCTTTGAACAACATGCTAGCTGTGGACTTTTTATATGTGGTTTTTATTATGTTGAGGCAAATTTCTTTTATTTTTCCATTTATTGACATGTTTGTCATGAAATGGTGTTGAGTGTTTTCAAATATTTTTCCTTATTTATAAAAATGATCATGATCATGATTTTTAATGCTTTGTTCTTTTTTTGATACACCACATTAATTTACTTTTTATTGAATTATTCTTGTATCCCAGAAATGAAAACTCATTTTGCCATGGTATAAACCCCTTTCAATATGCTGGTAGATTCGATTTACAAACATTTTCTTGAGGACTGGGCACCTATAACCATTAAAAATTTTAGCCTATAGTTCCTTTTCTCATTTTTTGTCTTTGGTATTAAGATAATGCTGATGTATTAAAATGACAGAAGTATTTCCTCGTGCTCCCTTTTCAAAAGGTTTGAAAAGTATTTGGTTTATTACTTCAAATGTTTCATAGAATTCAACAGTGAAGCTATCTGGAATAGAGCTTTTCTTTGTAGAAAGGTACTTTGCTTACTGACTCAATCTCCACAGTGATTATTGTTTTGCTCAGATTTTGTGATCTCCTTATGGTTAAGCATTTCTTAGGTTGTGTAGTTCTAGATTTATCCATATCATTTGTGTTATTCAATTTGTTGCCACCTAATTGTTCACAGTTGTCTTAGTAATTTTTGTATTTCTATGGCATCGGTCGTAATGTCCTCTTGCATTTCTGATTTTATTTATTTGAATCTTATAATTTTTATTAGTATTTCCAAAAGCTTACCAACTTTTTTTATTTGTTCACAACCACAGCTTGGTTTTGTTGATACCTTCCACTGTTTCTCTGTTCCCTTTACCTTTACTTCCCTTCAGATCTCATGTCTTTGTTCTGCTAATGTCCAGCTCAGGTTTTTTTTTTTTTTTCTTCATTTTTATATCTTTTTATGTATAAAGTTAGATTGCTTGCACAAGATTTTCTTCAAGGTCTGTGTTTTCCAATAAATTTCCCTTTTAGTACTGCTTTTGCCATATTCATAAGTTTTAGTATGTTACATTTTTGTTCCCTGGATGTAAGAGTATTTTCTATTTCCTTTTGTTCATTTTTGAGCCAGTATTGCGTTAATTTCCAAATGTTTGAGAACAGTCCAATTTTTGTTCTGTTGATTTCTAACTTTATTTCATTAGGGGTTAAAAAGGAAACTTGGTATGATTTCACTCTTCTTAAATTTGCTAGCCCTTTCAAGACTCTCAGGAGAAAGTCACCTGACATTTTAGAAGAGCTTGTATTATGCTATTGTTGAGTGGAATGTTCTGTAAGTATCTGTGAGAACATCTCAACAGTGGCGACCGTGGACAGTGTTTCCACATTCTACCTGACTTCTCCATCCATCATTGATTGAAACCTCCTACTTATGCCTGTCTTTTGTTTCCTTTCAACTTCATCAGTCTTTGCTGCATATATCTAAGTGCTAATACTAGCTGCATATATATTTATAATTGCTATAACTTGTTAGTGGCTTGATTCTTTTCTCATTAGGTAATGGTCTTTTTTTCATACCAATGTCTATTTTTTGATATAAGTATAGTTACCTATGCTCTCTTGGTTAACATTTTGCATAGAATATCCTTTTGCATTCCTTTAACTCTATCCTAAAATCTAAAGTGAACTTCTTATATAAAATGTCAATATATTTCTAATAAAGCCACTTAGTGAGTGTAAAATATTATAGTCCTAATAGCCTCATGAGTAAACTGATAAATACTAAAAACAAGACAAAAAACGGAGGTGGTGGTGCACAATCACTATTATTAAGCAACAGAACACATTTGAGACAGTAAAACAATATGAGGAAAAAAATAAAAGTACAATATCAAGAGAAAAAACAAACTGTCACTGATGAAATTAGGAAAAAACTTCGGTAAATTTACTAAGCTATATAAGGTATAAAACTAATATGCACACTATAATAGGCTAGAATACATATAAGGAACACACAGGGAAAAGCTATATTTAAAGAAAGTTTATATTTGGAACAAAACAGATAAACTATGTTGTAATGAATATACTACGAAAAATATAAGGCAAATATGAAAACATAAACATTACTGAAGAAATCAGAAGAAATTCTGAATAAAAGTAAAAATGTCATAAGGATAGAGATGTTAATTATCAAATCATGGGAATGTTAAGGTTTTAAAATTAATTTAAAATTTCAAAATGGTGTGAGTATATGAGTCATTGCTAGAATTAGGCAGCATTTAGAAACAATACCTTTGTTCTCAGAGGTCAAAGCCCAAATGTTTGACCATTCTCGTATATTTCTGACTGAGATATAAATTTGCATAGTCTTCTGAAAGTCAATTTGGCAATATCTCCTAACAATACAAAGTCATATACATGTTAACTCAGCAGTCGCACATTTGAATATTATCTTGCAGGTATCCTCCCACATGGAGAAGAAGAAAGATTGAAAAGATTACATTTTGTGGCTCTTTCTATAGCAGCAATCTAAGACAACCCAAATGCTAACCAGTACAAAACTGGTTAAATAAATTATTCTAATTCATGCTAAGGAAACATCTTGTGTCATTAAACTTGATAATGATGATAGAAATTCCTGTTTATGTGATGAGGTTAAATGAAAAATTACAAGTGTAAGTAGTATTTTAATATGCTATCTTTCGTGTAAAAATGGAGAGAAATTAAAAAATAATTATACCATTATAGATTTGCATTTTATGACTACTTTATATGTATGCATTTTATAGACCCAGCAAGGGTAAGAGGAATTACTGATGCTATTTCCTAGGGCAGGAAGGGATGAAGGAAAAGCAGGCACGTGAAGGTCAGGGAGGTTTGCACGCTATGCTTTTGCAGTATAGGACTCAGATGCACATCTCATGAAAAAGCGTGAGAGAACGTGGTAGAAGTATTTTTAGCAAAAAAAAAGATGAAAGGATATTAAAAATTAAAGAAAAGTATATAATATATTTTAAAGTATTTAAAGACTTTTTAAATTCATCAATAACACTAGGTGGTAATTACAACAGGGTAAGTGATTTTTCAGTGAAGACTTTCATATTCATCTAAATTACTTCTCATTTATGGAGGGGAAACAATGTATTTTTAAAAACTTAGTAGATATTTTAAAAACCAAAATATTTTAGTCAATTGAAAAATAAGTAAGTACCTAAGAAAATATATGTTTAATAATATAAGTAAAAAATACTGTTAATTCTAAATCTATAGGTGCATTATTAGCAGCTATTTAGAACAGCTAAGACTACTCAGTGAATTCAGTTCCTCTGGTCCAGAAATAAAATATTTAGATGGTAAGACCACACAAAGGCAAAACCAGTCAAATATCATTTTGAAGCCATGGACAAAATACAGAGGATACAATTTTTTTTTAAAAAAAGGAAATCAGGAGAGGCAAAATAGAAACCAAGCACAATCTAACAACTATTAATTGCAATCTAACACAAACACATTGCTAAAAAAGCATCCAAAAATGAATGGTTCAAAATATCATGAGTTCTGATTTTGTCAAGAAAGGCTGAATAAAATACAGAGTCTGAAAAAAAAAGATATACACACTTCAGCAGTTTGCTGTACTAATAAATGTCTGAAAGCTAATGGACACCACTTTGAGGGTCTCTTTTAATTGTAGTGGTCAAAGGTAACCTGTATGAACCTCATGAGGTCTCAATAAATTTATACAAGGTTTTATACAAGGTTTTCTGGTCCTGATGTATACATTTTTTGGCAGACTCTACATAACATAATATAGTCCTTAAATAAATCAGGCTAAAAAACAAAACTTTAAACATTAAACAAAGCTTTGATGAAAGCTTTACAAATGTAAAACATAGCCTGTGCAATACACCAACAGAGTGATTTTCATCCACCTTTTAATCTGCTGGAAGACAGTCAGTATAGAAAATATCAAAGTATTTAATTGGTAACAAAGATTCTAAGAAGCTGAAGAAATTTCTAAAAATATTCACTTCAATAAATCGATCATAAGTACAAAGCTTTCTGAAATCATTAGATATAAATTTAAAGAAATTTTAAGGGACCGAAATATAAAATACAATAAATATCTTCATACTTACCACTTGTTGGAAGCTCATTATATTCAAAATTCTAAAATGCTTTAAATATACATTAAATATTTATCCACATTTATATGTGTACAGGAAATACAACCTTCAAATTTTGAATATCAAATGAATTTTTCATGTAATATAATTCCCACAAGAATTAACTTTGCTTTATATTATATAATATCTCTTTTATTCTTGAGGAAATAGTTTTTGAAAAGGTAGTATCTTGCTCAGGATAAACTATTTAGAAGGTAAGATAGTCAAGATTGGCGTTGAAGAAGTAAAACTGAATTAAATAATGACACGTTACTATCTGTAAGTCGTGATAGTACTTGACTTACCTTACAGTAAAATGTAGAACTCTCTTCTTCGTGGACCCTTGTCTTTTATTTAGATATTTCATTTGATCCTCCCTGACTGCTGGTTTCTTCAAATCAAGCACACAGACATCGAGAGGTGGAAACAAGAGTTTGGCAAGTGCGTTGGCAACTCTCCATCCAATGTACTTGGAGAAAACCTCCTCCTTTGCATTTGCTGGAACTTTCGTACTGTATCTAGTGAAAGGGTCCCTCCGGTCATTCAACTCAGCCTGTTTAAAAAAAAAAAAAAAAAGCAACCGGTGTAGATAGAATTAATGAGAGGAAAATGATGTTATTATTAAATAAAGTATAGAATGCATGTTCACTTTGTATTAACATTGTATTTTTCCTGCTAAATAAAAATTATCTTTACATAAAAATGCTTTCCACAATGATTTTAAAAATCAACAATACTTAATCAAATAAACAATATCTGTGTGTCCAACCTTGAAATTTTCAGTATGTAACAGTAAAATTTACATTTCAGATACTTGCCACACAATAATTTCATAAGTACTTATAAATTTTTTTAGTAAGAAATGAAGCAGTCATTTGAATACACACTTTATTAAATCAGACATCCATTTTTCGTGCACAATTGAAGCTTTTATTGAAATGAAAAGGATATTTGTATTATCAAAATTTTTCAGTAAGAAAGTCTTTTTAATTAGTTTAAATTGAAGATGCTATAGAATTTAGATTCTCGTTTCTTTAAATTTATTTTTAACTGATATAAAAACATGATCAATGTGTGTATTAATGGAGTACCATGTTATGTTTCATTACATAAATTGAATATATTCTAATATCAAAAGAGTACAAAAACTTCCAGAATATTTAGATAATCTTTATTTTTTGTATTTATTTTTGATAACGTTCTTGACTAATTTTTGGTTACTTCTTTTTAAATGACAAAAGGCATATTTTATTTAACTGGAATTATAAATAACAAATGAAGATATAAATAAAGTGCCACAGATTATAATTTTTTAAATATTTCATTATGTTTGTAGCGGAAACTTTTTCTCCTAAATAAGTTGGATGATGCCTATTTTCATTTATATTTTTTAAAAGTTTATTGAACATTATCCATCTTCATGTAGCTTATTACTAGTGAGTCAAGATTCATTTTAATTATGCATAAATCCAATCATAGATGGATTCATAGTCCATGAATCCATAATATAATCCAATCAATATAGATGAAAAATGTTTTTCTGCATATGAACATCTAACTTAACCTCTTAGATATTTTAAGGTGACCTGTGGCTCAACTAAATTACTGCTGAAAGACTGACTGTTGAATTATCTGAGGAAATTAAAGTGAAACGATGAGTATAATACACTAGGTTCTCATTATGGAAACTAGGCAGAAAACAAACCAAATATACGTTACTATGAAATCTAGAGCGAATAGGAAAATATAACATGAAAAAAACTTAAAAGGATAAAATAGAGACTTCCATGAAGATGACAAAGTAATGAGCAGCAGAGAAAGGGCTTCTAGGAGATTTGCTGTCCAGACACTATAGACTACAGCAACATGAGGAAGAGGAGGAGGAGGAGGGAAGTGGGTTGCCTGGACCCAGGAAGGTCTGATGTGCAAACTGAGGGCTACAGGAAGAACCAAAGAGACAAACTTCAATGAAGGAGGAGGATGTGGCAGGCACTGCTTTGTCCCTGAGCCTAGACTTCCTATCTGGGAGGGGCAGCTCAAACCTGCAGATGTATGGTGACTATTGGTAACCATAGAGGTCACCACAGAAAGATCTTGAAGAGGCCAAGTGAGCTCAGAATGCAGAGAAACTGCTGACTCCAATTAGTGGCTCCCAGCTGCCTTTGATTGGCAGCAGGTACCTGGACCACTGTAGGCTCAATGGGTCTGGTTCCAGCCACATGGCAGAAACCGGTCTGAACTTCAGTGGAAATAAATGTGCAGGGTCACTGCGACTATGAACGACCCTGCTGTTGGGACTAATTAACACAGATCTGGACTCTGCCCATGGCGTCTGCCAGTGACATCGGAGACACACCTTCAAGTGCAATTTTGTTTTATTCTTTCCATTTTTCTTGGTTTTTTGTTTTTTCTTCATTATTTGTGCTTATTTTTATATGAATATGGACATGATTTCTAGTTTTTTGTTGTCATTGTGCTCTGTTCTTGGTTTCTTTTCTTTCTTTTCTTTTCTTTCTTTCTTTCTTTCTTTCTTTCTTTCTTTCTTTCTTTCTTTCTTTCCTGTGTGTAATCTTCTCAGTTTCTTAAAATTCGTGTGATCCTTCTTTGTTCTCCAGCCTTGCTTCTACTCCCTGCCCTCTTCTTATATTTCTCTTTTTCCCCCTAACCCATTTTAAATTTTCTCCACTGAGGGTAAAATTGCAATATTGAGGACATATTTAATACATACAATTTTCTTATTCATTTTAGATCTTGTTATAACCACAAATGTAGTTCCTACAGTTAAAGGTGACAAATCAATAGTTATTCCAATTTTCATTTTCTAGGCTGTTTGATGCTATTGTCATGCTGATTTTACCATTTTAGCTAAAGTGACGTAATTGTTCTAGCCAGTTGTTTTTCCTGGTATATAATGCCTGAGATTGTTTAAGTGCCATAAAAAACACTACAGGCCAGTGCAAAGAACTAGGGGTTGGCCAATAGGCAGTAACTTCTAAGTCCCAATAACTTAAAAAGACTCAAAACCCAAAAGCCAGCTACATCTAGAATACATCTCTGAAAAGTAGTCACTTCCTAAGGTTTCTAACTACCAGCAATAAAGCTGCTCACCAAAGGTTATTTGCAAGCATCAACCCAGGAATTAAACTAAAAAAAAAAAAAAAAAAAAAAAAAAAAAAAAAAAAAAAAAAGAAGTAGAAAATGAGAAGACACTTCAACAAGATACAACCCCAGACATCCAGCTAACAAAAGACAGACCCAGAAGGCAATATGGTTGAGCAATTCAAAAGCCTCCCTCCCACTTAGACTCTGAAGTGGTAATAGCAGAAGTAACAAAGCACATGAACGAGGCTCTAGAAAAAAATCAAATCAGAAGTAATTTGAGAACTACAGAAATGGTGACTATCATGAAAGACATGCTCAGTGAAGTTAGAGCAGATACAGATTTAAAACAAAATAGAGAAGTTAGAAAAATGATGGTAACCACAAATGCCCCACACAGGAAAGAAATGGAATAGATCAATGGATTCAAACGGATATCCAGGAGACTGAAAATTCCTTTGGAAGTATAAGCAGCAGAATGAGCCAATGTGGGGACAGAATCACAGATTTAGAACACAGGATTGTGTTTAATGATAATGAAAAACAATTTCTTAAAAATAGCAAGGGATCACAAGAAATCATTCTACCACCTACTAGACAAATATATAAAACTTTGTCAATGAAGAAATAAAACATTAAAAAGGTGATACCATACAAGTCTTTATTCTAATATATAACAATTCAGAGGCTTAAATGTCATCTGTACATCGACTTATATCATGACATCTTAAGAGTAGATTTGTAGAAAATACCAATTATTACACATTACAATAGATTTCAAGTCATAAATTTCCTATTTAGGCTGCCAATGAACTTCTCAAACTCTACCTTCAATCACATGTAAATATTTACATTTTTATTAGGTATCAGTCTTCCTATTTTTTAGTATGATTATGTAAGCTCTCAAGTGTTTCTTTAATATTGCATTCCTGAAACCCAAAATTTATTAAGAAGTAAATTTAAACTTCTGATACCCATATTTAGTGATATAAAGGGACCTGACCTAATGATACAGGATACCATAGTTTTAGATCTGCTCATTCAGATGGCAATTTTCTCCAGGGAATTGCTACAGAATCCTCCTAGAAACTTTAGGTTATAGGAACAGGGTTTTTCTTATAGAGTTACTTATGTCAATGTACTTTAAGTACATAGTTTAATGTGCAGAATTAAAAAGTCTTGACTGAAAATGCTTAAAAAGCTTTGGTTATGCATGGGCTAAGATATTTAATCCATGAGTTTCCAATTCTTTTAATAAAAGACTACATGAGATGTTCTTTAAAATCCTTCTTGAGAATCTCCAAAATTTGCTATGTGCAAACACCAAAAGATAGCATTCAATTAAATATGAAGAAAAATTGTCATAATTTCAAGTATTTACCTTTCTACAGTATCACTGTATTTGAGACAGGAAAAAATATTTCCTATTCACAGTGCATAGCCTACTTTTATATTATAATATAAAAATCTTGCTTAATTTGTAACATTTATAATCATAGAAATAGTATTAATACCAAATTTATCTGTGAAGTTCCACTGAAATAAGCAAAAAAAAAATTACACAACAATTAAGCATATAATTCTTCAATATTATAGTCATATTGTATACAAATGAAACCAAAGAAGTTTGTTTACTTTTTCATACCACTTTCATATATATTGTTTGATACTTTTGTGTAAAATTAAAAACTTTTCTCCTGTTTTCTGTTCAAGTTCTTACTATGCAAGAGAGTTTATATATAATAGAACTGTTTTAAAAAGTGGCAATTTTTGAATATCAATGTCAACCTATAGATTCAGTATTAAAATTGGATAAATACTATTCTTGAAAAAAATCTTTCTTGCATACCTGTTGTGTGAGAGTTGACCCCCCTGCTATAACCCCCTCCCCAGAGCGGGGAATGAAAGGGTTAACTCCCTAACTCCCCAGAGCGGGGAATAAAAGGGTTAACTCCCTAACTCCCCAGAGCTATCAGAGCAGAGCAGAAAGAAATGCCTAACTCCCCAGAGCTATCAGAGCAGAGGAAAAAAAAAGAAAAAATGCACCTGCAAGGTTGTTCTGTCTCAAGGAGATAAGTAAGACAAGTAACTGTTCTGTTCTGGGCACATAGTGACTGGGCTAGGACCCCCAGTCTCCATGGTTACTCAACCCCAAACCCCTCCAATCAACTTCTGCCAAGTCCTATCCTGCTCAAAATTAACCAATGCAATCTGCTTCTGTAAATTCGCTTGCCTCCCTGCGCCCTTAAAAACCCTACACAATTCCCCTTCGGGGCCCCTCCGCACTTGTTTGCCTGGGGGACCCCATGCGCATGGAAATAAACTTTTTTCCCTCACCAAGAATTGAGTCCTTGGGGTCTCTTTCCCTGCGGCGTCGGCCCTAACAGTTGTAACCCCAACAAGAACAGATGCTCACCCTTTGCTTTTGTATTAGAAATAAAGAAGGCCAAAAAA